GTTTTAAAGTAAATAGTTGTGGTGATTCAATTTGGAAAGACCACATTAAATCAAAGTGCTAGTGTAGCATCTACCCCAGTATGTAAGCTCGTCACTGAAACCTCTTGAAGGTGAATATATCTAATTCAGCAATCCTTTGGGCTAACTGCCAACCCTCATAGAGGATTCTTTTAGCTTTAGAGCTATAAGGTGGGGGACGGCAATAAGGGATCTCTGTGGAAATAGAAATAAATGGTCATGGTGGCGCAGTGGTTAGAATGCAGTACTGCAGGCTAATTCTGCTGATTGCCAATTACCAACAGGCTCAAGGTTGACTCAGTCTTCCATCCTTCCAAGGTCAGTAAAATGAGGACCCAGATTGTTGGGGGAAATATGCTGACTCTGTAAACCACTTAGAGAGGGCTGTAAAGCACTGTGGAGCCTAAGACTAAGTGCTATTGCTATTGAAGTTATAAGTGAGTATGTGTCAGCCTTGATAGGACCTCCAATAATATGTTGGGTATTGGGAACACTCCTTCCCATCCCCTGATCACCTTGAAGGGTTTTTTTTTCTCCCTCAAAAGTCTACAGTCAGTCAGTCATTGCCATGATAAGATCTTCATTGGCCTGAGTTCATTCCTTCTAAAGAATTTCTGATACTTCTGCAAACACAGATTTCCTAATAGCAGCAATAGCACTCAGACTTATATACTGCTTTATAGTGCTTCACAGCCCTCTCTAAGCAGTTTACAGAGTCAGCCTATTGCCCCCAACAATCTGGGTCCTCATTTTACTCATCTAGGAAGGATGGAAGGCTGAGTCAACCTTGAGCTGGTGAGACTCGAACTGCTAAACCGCTGGCAGCCGGGAGTCAGCAGAAGTAGCCTCCAGTACTGCATTCTAACCACTGTGCCACCAGGGCTCTAATATTTTTTTTTTCTTTTATGTTGTTGGGGTCATTTTTGGCTTTCTGGGTCTGGGCATTCACCTAGAAAGAACTGAAAAGGAGGGAAAGGTCTCTTGTTCTCTACCTTCCAGGTGAAAAGGTTGATTTCCAGTTTTAAAATGATGGTGATGTGCTATCAAGTTGTTGTTGACCCTTAGCAGCTACTAGATTTTCTTCATAATCATCTGTCCCTAACCTGGTCTTTCAGGTCTTCAAATGATGCACTCATCAATATTGTCCGTGTTGCTGCTGGTGGTCTTCTTTTTGTTCCTTCCACCTTTCCCACCATTAGAGTCTTCTCCAGAGAGCTGGGTCTTCACATAATGTGTCTGAAGCAGAATAATTTGATCGTGTCACTTTATGAAACATGGGGCTGAAACGTCTTAAAGGAATGACTTCCCCCAAGCACAACACATATACACATATGCTTTTATAAGAACATATAGTTCATGAAATCTTGCATTATAAAGCTGGTGCTGCTTTATAAATGCTCAGTGCTTTCACCAAAAGAATATAAGTGAATTGAACTGAGTATCAGGGCAACTGGAATTAAAGGAGCTGAACCAAAACAATGAATTGGAACTGCATCAGAGCAACTGGAACTAGCTGAACATCAGTCACCCACAAAATAGATTTCCTGCAAAATTTCCAGTACCTGACACCCCCCAAAATCATCAAACATTATGCCTGTTACTGTACATCAATGATGACATAATTAAGTTTTGATTAAATAGCTAGCAACTATTACATGCCAAACTGATATGAAGGCCTGAAATTAAGTAATAGAAGCCCTGGCCTTTGTTTATATATTGTTTTTTTATAGTTTTTGCTGGTATGGAAAACCCTTTTTGAACATTTTATTTAGAGTTTCTGCTTTAAGTCTCATTAGCCCTGTCATAGTTCTCATGATGTTCATTTTCTTTACATTCTGACTTTTTTCTTTTCTTTTCTTTTCTTCTTTTCTCTTTTTGCTGTCATGGTTTGAAATTCTGGCCAGATGGCCTGCAAGTTGGCAGTATCAATGCTGGTAGCTATCATGGGAGCTTCTGCTCTCCTTTCCCATCTGTTTCTGAATTCTCGGCTTCAGTTACCCTCCTCATTTGGTCCAGACTTCTTTTAAAGCATCTGCTTGGACTTTGGTCTTTCTCAGGTGGAAGCCAAGAAGACAGGATAAAAGGAAGACCTTCCCATTGAAAGGATTTTTGAGAGCACGTTCCCATCTGCACCCACCCGCTCTCTCCCAGAAGGCCATTCGAAGAAAAGCTTTCTGGAGTTTTGAATGCTAGGCCAGCAGGTCCAGTTTAGATGCACTTTTCCCCAAGCATATAATCTCCTTCTGTCATCACTTCCCTCCTGCCTTGCTCATGCTAGGGAAGCTTAACATGCTGAGGAGCCTGCTAGCTATTTTTATCCGTCCTTTGGCAAGATGAAACTTTTATAGGATGCGGCATTTGGTCTCGCTTTGGATTAAGTGTCTAATTGCTTCCCAGGATGCTTGGCCACCCCATCATCCATGCTCAGCCTCAAAGAAGCAATCTCTTCAGTTGCTGAGATGGGTATTTTTCCGGTCACCATTATGTAAAGATTGTCATTCTGGGACCCAGGCTGATGTTGTAAAAGTGTAGCTGTAGGCAACCCTAGGCAAGAAGCTTCTTTCCTACTTGTGATTCCCAAAGCTGTCCGGTGTTTCTTTATTTGTTTATTTATTTAGGCTTTGTAATTACAGGTAATTCTTGACTTACAACCACTCTTGGGCCCAAAATTTCCATTGCTAAGCAAGGCAATTGTTAAATGAGTTTTGCCCCATTTTATGACCTTTTTCCTACAGTTGTTAAGCAAATCACTGCTTAACAATTGACTTCCTCCATTGACTTTGGTTAGTGGAAACTGGCTGAGAAGATCTCCAATGGTGATCACATGACTCCAGAACACTGCAACTGTCCTACATACCTGCCAGTTGCCAAGCAACCAAGTTTTGATTATGTGACCATGGAGGATGTGCAATGATTCTAAGTGTGAAAAATGGTCATGTCACTTTTTTCAGAGCCATTGTAACTTCAAACGGTCACTAAACAAACTGTTATAACTGAATAATGTTCAATGTTTCAATTTTTTTTTTATTAAAAAGTTTTATAAGTTTTACAAAAAGAACAAAACAATACAAAAACAAAAAACAACATATACAAAGAAAAAACTAAACATTACACAACAAAACCCCCCTTCCCCAACCCCCACCCAAACACCCCCCCCTTCCCCCCCAGAGCTTCCCAGAGCAGAATATAGGCTTAATTAAAAAACAATTAAAAAATTATGTTTATAAAAAAAGAAAATATAACATTAAAACGTATATGTATATATATAAAAATGAAGATTATGAAAAAGCTATATAATATTTTTTATATCCAGTTTAAATTGTATAAATTTTATCCACTTATCCCAAACAGCAAGAAATTTATCTTGCGTTTGTTCCTTTAAAAAAGCCGAAATCTTTGCCATTTCCGCTAAATAAGACACTTTAAGAAACCATTCCTGCAGTGTAGGCAAAGATTCCTTCTTCCAATATTGTCCTACTAACAGCCTCGCAGCTGTAATCAAATTTAACATCAATATAACCTCCTTTGTATCACAATCAATAACTATACCCAACAAAAATAATTGCGGAGTAAATTTTACCCTCCTTCTAAAAATTCTCTGGATATTCCACCATATCTTAATCCAAAATGCTTTTATCTCTCTGCACGACCACCAAATGTGATAATAAGTAGCATCCATACAACCACATCTCCAACATTTAGGTTGTAAGTCAGGGTACATAAGAGACATTTTTTGTGGATCAAGGTGCCATCTATAAAACATTTTATAAAAATTCTCCCTTAAGTTCTGTGCTTGTGTAAATTTGACATTTCTCACCCAGATGGTTTCCCAGGTGTCCAATGGAACTGGCTCACCAAAGTTCTGCGCCCATCTGATCATACAATCTTTAATTAGTTCCGTTTCTGAATCCAATTCAACTAAAACCCCATAAATCCTCTTAATGTGGGTTTGTCTTTGATCCTTCACTTGCTTAATAACATTTTCATCTTCTCTAAGAAAACCCACCTTACAATCCACCTTCCATCTATCTACTAATTGCCTATATTGGAACCAAGAATAAATAATATTTTCTTGTGCTAACTCTTCCCGTGATTTTAACTGCCAGTTTTGTCCATCCCATCTAAGTAACTGTCTATAAGACACCATATCCATTTTAGCACCTCTTTTTATTCCTTCTATCGCATGCCAAGGTATAGCCCATAATGGTACTTTAAAATCACTTTTATAATATTTTCTCCAAGTCCTAAGTAAAGAAATTCTTAAAATATGAGCTTTAAAGACCCAATCCATTTTTTTATTAAATATTAAATAGGCATGCCACCCAAAAAGTAAATCCCATCCCTCTAGATGGAGTATCTCAGGATTTGTCAAATTTACCCAGTCACTAATTAGTGTTAAAACCACCGCATCATAGTATAATTTCAAATTCGGTGCCTTGAGTCCACCCCTCTCACGGAAGTCTTGCATAATTTTAAACTTAACCCTTGGCTTTTTCCCTGCCCAAATAAATTTATTAAGACCTTTCTGCCATTCGCTTAGATTAATCTCATTCTTCAAAATCGGTAACATTTGAAACAAAAAGAGAAACTTGGGTAGAATATTCATTTTTATCACTGCAATTCTTCCCATGAGGGATAATTGCAACTTCTCCCAATTCTTCAAGTCTTTCTGTACCCTAACCCACAAACTTTCATAGTTATTTTTAAATAGTTTTGCATTAGAAACAGATAACATCACCCCCAAATATTTTACCTTATTGACAATTTCAAAACCCGTCAAATTAACCAAGGTCTGCTTCTCCTGACTAGTCATATTTTTAGATAAAATTTTAGTCTTATTAACATTAATCTTAAAACCCGAGACCAAGCCATAATAATGAATCAATTGTAATAACTTTACTACAGAATGAGTAGGTTGCGACAAAGTAACCACCAAGTCATCCGCAAAAGCTCTTAACTTGTATTCTTTTTTATTAACTTCTATTCCTTTAATTTCCTGCGACTCTCGAATTTTGATGAAAACTCATAAATGTTCCTCTCCACGGAAATCTTTAGTAAAAGGCGAAAGATTTATACGATCTGAAGAGAAACCAGAGTATAATGTTTCAATTTTAAATGATTCATATTTTTTTTAAAAAAAATATTTTATTGGTTTTTTAATTTTTAAGAAAAAGTACTCAGGGCATACCGTGGTGTTTGGGTAATCAGACATTCCAAAGTAAAACATAAATAAACAATTCAACTCAATACATTTACTGTCTCCTCTCTATTTCCCTCAAATAACATAATACGTTTAAAATATTCCATTTCTAAATTAAATTTCTATTACTACTAAATCTGTTTTAAAACTTTATCAGTTTACAATTACCAAAATCAAATTTAACTTTAAATCAGCAAGTTATTAATTCAGGTATCCCTTCCAGATATATTCTAGTTCTTAATTTCTCTCATCCCTCCTTTTATCACCAATCTCATTTATTTCTTCTTCCATTACACAATAGCTATCTTAGTTAAAAAATAATGTTAAACCTTAATTCACTTCAATTCATTACAGAAACTTCAAATTTCATCCAATTGATTGTCATACCTTATCACATCTATGTTATGGTACAAAAAAATCATCTAAGTTAAAACACTCCATTAATTATTAAAACCATCCCAATCTAAAAAATCAACATTTTTTCAATTCCAATACATAATTTTCATCAAAATAAATCTGTTATTCCAAAAAGTATTCTTAATCTATTTAAAATATCTTTTCTAAAAATCACCCTCAGATATATATATATGTTTATATTTTTTCTTGCTTCTAACTCTAAATCATAATTCTTAAAACAAACCATAAATCAAACATTGCCTTTAAATCCATTATACAATTTTAAATTTCTCTTTTCAGTCTAATTCTGGCTTTTTTCCTGTGGCAAACAGGTTTCCCTAGGGACGCTTCCCTTTCAGCCAGTAAATCTGTCTTTGTTGCTTGCAGTAGCCTTTGAAATAATAGCAATCCCATCCTCTGCATTAGATGTCTATTTCTCTCCTCCTTGAAGGGTTGTTGCTTTGTAGTTTGAAGTCTCAGTCTTTGCTTCTTCAGTTCCTCTAAGTTGCAGATGGAAGGTTTGTAAGCTAGAATACGTTCCTCTTTTATCTCTGTTAATTCCTCTTCTAGTATGTTTTGATTTATACCATAGTCAGATGAAGCCTGGATATCCATTTGAACATTTGAAGTGAAATTTCTGGATCTTAGTTCTGTAGTAAACTTTTTCATTGTAGCACATATTTCTGCAGTAGCCTCATTGATCTTTTACAGTATAAGTGTACAGTTTAATTGTGACTGAGGTTTCTCCATTTTGATAGTGATTAAAAAGAATCTCTTTTTTCTTTTCTTTCTTTTTTTTGGTGGAGGCTATATTTGATATAATTTAGGCAATATCCACCCCCATAGTTCCCACAGCTACCCAGCTTATCTTTTCTCTTCAAAAGTGTTTTGAAGGTCAGATCTGTTCCATCTTCACACCAAGTAACCAGACGTTGCAGTTTTAAATTTTTGCCACTAGATGTCCTCATTAAATTAAAAAAGGTCTTTTCCAGAAACCATTTCCTTTTTTCCTATCTTTTAAAGTATAATGTGACAAAGAAATAATCTTCCAGTATAGGATAATAATACAGTTCTTAAAAAGAGAGGAAAAGAAAAATTTTTTTTCCTGTACCCCAAAAAATATAAAAGTAAAATATAGTCTTTAAAATTTTGTTCTATTTTTACAGAACACCTTTCTTCCCAAAGAATGCAGAAGCCGCCTTTTCAAGCCAGGGAAATAATTCCAACAAGGCTCTTTCAGGTACCAAAAACAAAATAGAATAGAGAGAATATAGCAAAGAAAAGTCTCACCCGGATTCACCATGGGGGGTCTTACAGCTTAGATGTTCTTTGACTTGAGGTTTGAAGCAGCAAGGTGATCGGCCATTTTACTGGCTGATCTTCTTCTCCATCGGCCCTCAGAGATAGCTCAGACTGCTAAAGGAGCCGCCACTCTCATCAGACGAGCAGAGCCTCCTCGACAGAGGTCGCACCCTCCAGGGCAACTTTGGACCCGCATAAGGGTCTGCTGGCAGAGGGAAAGCTAGCCGACGAGGAGACAAGTCTGCTTGTCTGACTAGAGACGCCGCGAACCGGAACTGGAAATCTAAATGATTCATATTTTTAATGGTTTTAACATTCTAATTGTTTTATGCTGTGCTTTTATAATGTTGTAAGCCATTTGGACTCACTTACCATGTGAGATAGGCAGCATATAAATTTAATAAATAAATAAATAGTAGCACAAAGAAAAAACAACACACAAAAATAATTGTCAAAAAGAAAAAAAAGTACTCTAACAAAAAAGAAATATCATAGAGGAAAAAGAAAATATAATACGATATATAATATAATTATAAATATAATATAATATGTTGTAATTTCATATATACTTAATGCCAATATTCAAGTATGTATATATTTCTAATACATTCATATGTTTTTTTTTGCAACTTATGAGCAGATTGCCTATGGGCATAGAGTTTGTATGAACTATGGGACTCATTTATACAGAATATAACAGGTTAAAAATTTATTCCAATCTTAACAGCTAAGATAAATTCATTGCCTATTTTTAAAAACAAATATATATTAGGAGAAAGTTGTACAAAAATATAGGCATCAATATAATAGAAATTAAGCATTATATGAGGAAAACGGCTTGCAATACTATACATTTGACCAGACTGCCTTAAAAATGCAAGATATTTCAATGAGCAACAGGTACCCAAATGCATGCAAATTTTAGAGCAAAATTTGATAAGCGTTCTCTATTTCAGTTAATCATACAACCATAAAATCATAGGGTTGGATGGGACTTTGGAGGTCTTCAAATCCATTCCCCTGCCCAAGGCAGGAGTCCCTATAGCATCCCAGACAAATTGCTGTCCAATCTTTTGTGTGCAAACCTCCACTGATGGGGCACCCACAACTGTGGGAGGCAATTAATCATTCTGACTGTCAAGAAATTTCTCCTTATTTCCAGATTGAATCTTCTTCTGACAAAGCTTCCGTCCATTGCTTCTTGTCCTGCCCTCAAGTGCTCTGGAGAATAAATCAACGCCCTCTTCCCTGTGACAACCCTTCAGGTATCAAAAGAGGGCTACTATGTCTCCCCTGAGCCTTCTCTTCATTAGGCCAAACATACAAACATTACAGTTAGCTTTAGAAAAGTGATGAACTTGAGAAAAAGAAAAAGAATTGAGAAAAAAACCTCTACAGATTAATGGAAATAAGAATACTGTGGAGGGGGAAAAATCAAAAATATGTATATACACCCACCTGTAATTTGGAACAGTAGAAACCCCTTTCTTTTTACTTGGGTGTTTGGAGGGAGTTTACAAAAGAGGTCTGTTGCTACACAAAGAAGCTGAGTAGCGACATTTCCCAATGTTTCAAAAGAAGAGAAGTGGCTGTGGCTGAGGAAATAGCAGAGAGCAACTTTTAGTGTGGCTGCTTTAGTGCTTTAAAAAAAAAAACACCCTTTGTACCTGCTCCCATATGTTGGGGAGACTTAAAGGCTTTGCATAGTTCTGGAGATGATACATGGCTCTCTGTGTTGACTGTATTTATTCCTAGTGAAGAATTTATTCCTAGTCCGTCAACCATGGCTGTGTTTTTGTTCCCTAGAGAAAAGGGTGCCCATTTTCCATCTGACCAATACTTAAAATGCTTAAAAAAGCAAAATGCTTGGCCTCGGAGAAGGTCTAGCCAGAGATGCCTGGAATGACTGAAGCCCATAGTTTTGTTCTTTTGTGGAGGAGGGAGAGAGGGTGGGAGAGGGAGAGGGAGAGGGAGAGGGAGGGAGGGAACGAGGGAGAGAAAGAGATTATTGGATAAAACATGGGATCAAAAAATAGTCCCCTTTGCTTTTGGAGAACTTTACACATTGTAACTCAGCTGCTGATCTTCTGCTTTGCTACTGTAGACATTATCAAAGATGGGTTATGTGGGTGAAAAATGAATTTGTATTGTGAAGTTTTCAGGTTTTTTTTTGTTTTGCTTCTTTTTATGCAGGGATTCCCTCTGAAGATTATTTCAAGGATTTTTCCAAGTAAAATGGTGCTTGTCCTGCTGATCAAACCGAGGAAGAAGAACAGGAGATAGGCAATCCTTAAAAATATCGTAAGGGTGGCACCTACCCCATTAAAGGAGAAGCTGAGTAAAAGGTAATAATAATAATAATAATAATAATAATAATAATAATAATAATAATAATAATAATAATAATCCCCCCAGTGAGGCACTACCTTGACCCCCAGTGAGGCACTACCTTGACGTGGTTGTGGGGCTTGTGTACTCTGAGGAAGATGAGAGCTATGCCAGAGGTTCAACCATACTGGACAGGTCTCATCAGAGGAGTCAGACAAAGAGTGTCTCTCCCATAAAAAATATGGTGAGACGTAAATTGCAGAATGCCATACCGGCTCGGACGTCGCCCGGGTTAACAAGGTCCGCACTAGATATTGGAGTTCCTGGATATCTGGTGAAAAATGGGTTACAGGACTCAGGACTGTTGGCTGAGCAACCAGGGCCAGCAGCTGCAGAACTACTGGAAGAAAAGGTGTTTACCCGTCGCAGATACACAGTGATGGAAAACAAAGAAATAATGATCTGTTACTACAGATCAAGTCCAACAAGACGAGGATATCTAAAACGAATGCACCAATTCTGGAAAGAACAACATCCAGAATCAGAAATAACAGAACAGAGACTAGCAGATCAACGCCGATTTATAACACGAAATAAAGTATTTACAGAAACAGAATTGGACGAACTGCAAAGGTTTACCCAGGGCAAAGAAATCAAAGCCTTACAAGAAGTAATTCAGAATGTAGAGGCAAACCAGGGGGAGTTGGCAGTGAAAGAATCCAGTAGAGATATACAACTGTTCTCATTTGGAAACCAGGCACCTCTTCCTCTGGAAGAACAAAACCCTCTAACTAAAGAAATAAAAAAATTGAAACAAAGAATAACTGAGCATCTAGAACAGCACAAAAACAACAGAATAAGGCTGCCTGCATT